GAGCTGATATCAAGGGCTCAAGTAGAAAGCAAATGTTTTGAGAATGACGAGGGCAACAAATGTACAAATGTGCTTGACACAATGGAAGGATGTATGGATAGTGATAAGAGTTGTATGAGCCCCCAATAAAATTATTAAAAAACAATAATGTTATGTTTGGGGTCATCACAACATGAGGAACTGTATTAAAGGGCCGCAACATTAGCAAGGTTGAGAACCACTACTCTAGTGTATTCATTTCCCAGGAGTGCTATACAGATTACTACAAACTGTTGTCTCAAACCACAATAGAAATGCATTTTCTCCCCAGTTCTGTGCAAATGTAAGCGTTTGTCAGGTTGATTCCTTCTAGAAACACGGTGGTGGGAGAATCTGTGTTAGGCTTCTTCTTTCCGAGGTTCTGGCGTTTGCAGCGATCCTTAAACTCTCCTGAGCCAACGAAGAAAGCTTTGTCCTCAGGCAGAATGTGCTTGAAACCGAATTGCGCCAACTCCCCAGGTCAGCTCACCCTCAGGGTCTTGCCTGGGCCTGTCCTGGATGGAAATTGGAATGCCAGCGTGTCCGGATCACAAGTTAAACCCTAACCGAGGTGGTTGGAGGGCCCAGAACTAATCCTGTAAAAGTTTCTATTCTGCACTAGTTTCAAGTTGGGCTGCTAATCGCGATGGCAGCCACTCAAAACCACCAGACAAGCTTTTGACTCCCTGAGAGAATGACAGTCTTGGGGGCAGTTCTGCCCTGTCCGATGGGATCGCTGAGTCAGGATCCACTCAATTCAGTGAGACGGCAGAGAATCATGGTCCCTTACCTACTTCTGGAATCCCTCTTGGCACTGAGATGAACTTGTTTTGCCACCAAATGGGATTTTATGATGGACTCGCACGCTTGCTCATGGAACCATGTGGCTGTGAATCCTTTGAACGCCATTTTGGCCTCATGCTGATGAGCTCCCTCAGACGATGATTTGTTTTCGTCTGTTCTTGTCTTTACCCTCTTTGACTTAATAATGTCTCTATTACACACACACACACACACACACACACACACACACACACACACACACTCCAATCTGGGCCCACACATATGGCGTCCTTCTAGAACGCTCCCCCTACCCCAGTATATAGATAGATAGATGGGTTTGTAGACTCATCACTCCCATCTTTGTCTCTGGCTCCCCGTGGCGTCCATGTCTTGGTCTGAGATCATGACCGCCGCTGGGCGCCTCCTCTTCAAGTCTCCCCAGGCACCTCCACCAAACCTTTCTCACCTTCACCGCACACTTATTCCTTTCCTCATCCCTGCTTCCCATCACTGGACTATGCAAAACAAATGGTCCAAGCTGGAGAGTCCTCCTGGGTTCTTTTCTCTCGGTATTCCTTACTTATTATCAGGTGGAAACCTCTCCAGGCGCATCCACCTGGTTCTCTCCCGTTCCTCTGCCGTTACTCCAGTCCAAGGCCCTAGCCCGAGTCAGGGCTGTAGTCGTAGCCTGTTCTTCCTGCCGACCCATCATTATTTCCAGCTATCCCATGGTTCAACGTGAGTAGTTTACTAAACAAACCTGCTAGTGCCTCTCCTCTGCCTACCACGCATTGAGTGGCTTCCCAGTGTCATAGGATCAAGTCCAAATTCCTTAACCAGATCTCCAATCTGGCTCTAGCCTTCTCTGGTAGTCTGTGTTCCATTCATCTGGGGATTTAGTCTACAAGAGATGCTCTATTCTCTTTGGCCTTTGGGCCCACACACATGTCATCCTTCTCCTAGAAGACTCCCCCTACCCCATTATCTGATCACTTTGATCACTCCTGCTCTTTCCTAGAGCCTCAGCTCGGCTCCCACTTCTGAAGGTCTTCTTCGATTTCCTAGACCAACTCAGACTTCCTGCTTTGAGCTTTCAGTCTCCGTGCTTCGTGCTTCACCTGAGATTGCATCCATCGCCTTGCATGACTGTCGGATGATGGCTTCCTCTCCAGGCTCAGGCTACATGAGGACAGGGTCCAGTGCTATCCAATATGCTGGCTGCTTTCTCTTTCTTGTCTGGAGCATGTCAGCAGGTAATCTGCAGGTGCCCAACAAATGTTTATGGAGGGGAAGAAGGGAGAGGCGAAATAGGCAAGGGGGTGCATGAAAGTGGACTGCCCAATTCTTCTCTGCTCTACAAGTCTCAGAGGAAAACAGCTAGTCTCTTCTTGTTGCCAAAGGGAAGACAAGGGTGACACACCAGAGCCAAGCCCCTCACCTGAGAACTCCTGGGGGGCAGGAACTTGGTCTTGCTCAAAGTTGTAAATCTTTATCCTCATAATAAATAGTATGTGTGCAGTAGATGCTATTAAATGAACAAATTCATCCTAAGGAATTCCTGGCCCATATCCTAACCAGCCAGGGAAGCCATATTTTTTTAATAAGCCCCAAGAAATAATTTGACTTTTTAAAGAATGTGGACATATATAGAAGGTTAAACCCTACCAGTCATGCCCCAAGAAAAGAGGAGTCTTTCCGTTCCTGTAAAGATTTATGGTCTCAGAAAACCTAAGAAGCCATTCTACTCTGTCCTCTGGGCTTGCTATGCATCCAAATGGGTTTACACATATATAAACTTCACTCAAAATACATCCTTAAAAGTACGAACAATGGCAAAGATTTTCCCCAAGTACTCTTTGGTTACTATCAGGCAAATCAGACCTAGTACTGAATGTGTGACATTCCAAAGTTACAGAAAACTCATGCAACCACGAGGCTGAGCCCTCCAGCGTCTCGTGCAATCTTGGCACATGCTAGGTGCTTCTTATTCAAAAGCACTCTGACATTTCAAACTATAAAGTTTTCATGGTGAGGCCAACACAAAGAACAGAGACCCTGCTTATGGAACACTGCTCCCCCGTGGGCACAGGCAGCTGTTTTTCTGCCTGCCCCCCAAAAGAGAGAAGAAAATGGTGGCAGAGAACTAGGAGAAGCAACAGCAGCAGAGAGGCACGGGCGATGAAAGGAAGAGACTGTGATTTTCGCTGGGCGGGGGTCACGGTGCGGAGCAAGGGCCTCCTCTAGGTTTGCCCTTGCCCTTCGTGATGTTCCTGAAGAAGGCTCCTGAAGGGAGGGGAGCCAGAGGCAGGAACCTAATGGGTGAGAAGTAGGAGCCTTGCTTATTAACCTATTCATCTCTTGAGTGTGTTTTTAAATTTTAAATTTGCGTTCAGTCTTAAAAAAATAACAAACATTAAAAGAATCCATACATATCAAAAGAAAAGAAATTAACCCAAATTCCAGTGCTAGACTGAAAATATTTCGGGGTCTATCCCTTCAAATTTTTCTCGACAGTAAGTACATAAACCAGTATGTTCTGATACAACAGAGATCATATGTTGCTGTACGCTGCTGTTCTTCTTTGAATATCTTTCCACGTCATGGGGATGGCCAAGCGCCCCTGGACACAAAGCCTTCCTGATGCCCTGGGGCAGAGAGGTTTAGCTTGTCCGTTTTCCCTCCCATGAACAACGCCTCAGTGAACAGCTGTGTAGTCAAGCCTTAGCACAACCCATCATCAGTTCTTCAGTCTTAATTTTCTCAAGAAAAGAAGATACTGCTATTAAAATGCTTACATCATAAATTGGCTTCCTTGGGGCTCACCTTGATATGATGCTTTTTATTCCCTGATTCTGTACAACCACCAAGTTTTATCTCCAGTCCCACCTCATTTTTATTCAACAGACTTCAAAACTGGGTGAGACACAGCCCGGTCTTTGAAGAGATTCTAATCAAGTCGCAGAGCTAAGTGCCGGTAGTAAGAATCGGTTAAACCCTTTCCACCTAGGACATTCCTGTTCATAAGCCAGACCCATTGCCATAGAGAGCAAAGAAAACGCTCTCCAGTAAATGAGCTTTCTCTCACTTCAAACAAAAGTACCCTCCCCTTATGGCCATTCTCAAGGACAAAGTGGACATATACTATTAATAATAAACGATGATTAGTGAGAATTTATCTAGGAACTCATGATACAGTAAATAACGTGGTATTTCTCTACATGACATATATTAATGAAATGTATCAGTTGGCTCTCACAGCCACACTGTGAGGTTAGTACTACTGACAGGAACACTATTGTTGTGGAAACAAGGAAGTTCAGTCATTTGCCCCAAATAGCTCAGCTGGTAAGTGGTGGAGCTGAAATAGGTCAAAACCCTTTGAGACCAAAATGCTCTGTCTCATAAACATGCTGCCTTTAGGCTGGAAGGGTAATGGCAGCCAAGACTAAGCCTTGATTTGACTTTTCAGGTACTGTGGCCTGAAGACCGGCTTGCTAACATCCCATTTGGTGGGGCTCATGGCGACCAATCAGTGCACCTTCTACACACCCGTCGGCTTTCCTCAGATCCCAGTGGCTGCCTTAGCTGTGGAGAAAGTGGGCCAGTCCAGCGTGCATTATCGACTTGCTCTGTTTCCACCAAAGGCCACCCAGGGGCCACCTTCAGTAGATCACCAGGACCTCAACGATGGCTTTTTCTTTGCCCACCCCAAGCTGTCACAGTTTGATGCCTTGGCTTGTACCACCGGCTCTTCGGTCCACGTCTTTGTGAATCCAGCCACCGGCAAGCCAACAAGCCTTCCAGAACACTTCAAGGAGGGCCTCCTGAGGCTGAGGACCCCAACTGCTGTGTGAATCCTCAGAACCAAACATCGTAGATCTCATGCAATAAAGTTGCAGTTAGTCTCTCAACGATTTTGATTCTTCCGCGTATAGTTTTGCCCTTAACAGGACTGACAAGACCTTAAATGTTCTATACAGCGTCACAGAACCAGTCACATACTTTTAGACAAACCAGCAGGCACCTCCTTGCCTCAAGCCCTGGGCCAGTGCTTTCACACTGTCACCAAGTCCTCCCAACAGACCAATGAAGGACAGACCACCCTCATTTTACAGACGAGGGAAATGAAGTGGGAATTATTGACCTAAAGTCATTCAGCTAGTGAGGCTAGCTAACTCCAAAGCACGTCCTCTCCACTCTGACCCGAATACTGCCTCTCTCATCCACGCCAGCGTCAGGATGACCATAAAAGGCTGTCTACTTCCTGGTTGGCTTTGGATTCTTCTTGCTCTTCATTATCTTGGCCCATGACTCCTTTCAGTACCTGCCATTCTTGCCCATAGTCTCATCTCTCCTGATCCTTGTCACTACTCTGAAAGCGGGCTCATATCAGTCTCATGCTAACTATGCATCACGCCCACTGCCGAGACGGAACAGACTCTTCAGGAAGGTGGCCTGCCCGCACCACAGAAATCCCGAGTGGCAGAGCCAACATGCAAATCCAGCCAGGTGTTTCAGCACAAGTCTTTCCCTACTGCCAACTTTGCACGTCCTCCCAGTGGTCCTCAACTTTCAAATGACCTCATGTTTTGCCACCCGTTTATTAAACTGGGATGATGGCAGCAGCCGTTTCAATGTCCTGGGGCAAGTAAGGTGGTGAACTTTACCATCAGAGAACCCTGCCTTTATATCCTGGACCTGCCGTTTCTAAAGAGGGCAGCTTCACGTCCTAGTTTGCCTACAGTTGTTCTGTGGGGCCTGCCACTTGGCTGTCCCACTGTGGGTCTCTCACGATGGGAGGATCAGTGGAATCTGTGGGCCATTCCTCTGCTCCTTCCCACCAATGGGTTCTGTGTACGTGGGTGTGGACATCAAGCCATCTCACTGCCATCGAGTCAGTGCTGGGGGGTTCCGAGACCGGCACCGTTTACGGGAGTAGAAAGCCCAGTCTTTTCCCCTCGGAGCTGCTGGTGGATGCAAACTGCTGACCATGAGGATCGCAGCCCAAGGCATAACCAGGACACCATGCTCACCCCCTAATAACTGTGGCCGCTCGTTAAGCCTAATGACATCCCACAAAGCCCTGGGAAAGGCATGGGGCCATTTGGGCAGGCCATTCCAGGGTGAGACTCTGGACTAAGGGTTGGGCGGCTAACTACAAAGTGGGTGGTTCACACCCACCAGTCGGCCACCCTGCTGGAGAAAGCCTTGGCTGTCTGCTCCCGGAGGATTTCGTTTCCGACGCCCTACACGGGGTTTCTCGGAGTCAGCTCCTAGTCCGTGGCAACGGGCTGGGGGTTGACTTTCCAGGAAATGGCGTGTAGTCTAGAAGGCGCGGGGTTGAGTTTGGGTGGTTGGGGACCATAGATCTGAGCGGGCAAAATTCTTGTGCCTTATGGGCTCCTCGCCCCGCGTGGACAAGCACAGCCAGAGGTAGGGGCGCCGTGGCTCTTAGAAACTTCTAAAGTGGGTAGGGCAGCTTGCCTTTCACGAGCCAGGATGTTCTGATCTGGACAATCAATTAATATGGGCCCTTCGCTTAGGGTCTGTGTTCCAAAGGAATGATTTATTGACCCTCTGAGTTTCCTAGTCTATAAATGGGGGAAATGGCCCGGTGGTAACCCGGAGCGCTGCTCCCAGTACTTCAGCAAGCACCCTCGAAGCGCCACCAAGATGACCCTTCTCTGCACCTTGAAGTTACACGTCGCCACCTGGCTTGCTTTGACAGACGAAGGTCCACAAGGGCAGCCGTTTCAATGGCTATCCTTGACTTTCCCATGGCTGTGGATAGATAGGGAACCCTGAGGATGAGCTATCAAAGTTGTCCAGGACAACTGCCCAGGAACACAGCAGACTTGGCAAAAGCAAAAATTCAACCTCTGTTAACCCATCGAGACAGGACTGTGCCCCACAGCACAGCCCAGTTATCCTCCTCCTGTGACAGCACCAGCCGCACAGGCTGTTAGGAGGGTAATGAAGAAATGTAGGCACAGGCCTTGGAATAGTACCCGGTAGAAGCTATTAGTATTATCTTGTTGTTGTTAGGGGCCGGTGACTCATCGTGGGCCCATGTACAACCAAAAGTCAGTCTAGAGACTTAAAGCAAACATTTAAAAAACAACCCCCCAAAGCCCCAGTCATTCACTCACGACTGTATTTACAGGAGGCTTCCACGCAGCTGCTCCGGCAGGGTCATGTAGCTCTTTAGCTACCCATTTGCCAGGCACTTCTGAGCAGCTCTGACTCGGGGCTTTGTTAACAAGGGGAAAGAGTTTCACCCAAGCAGGTGAGGGGGCCCAAACCATTCAGGTGTTGCAGATTTTATAGCTAGGCTTTTTGTTATACTCGAATCATGGCGAAAACAGACAAGGGGTACAAAATGTGTGTTCATCTCTCAGTAGGGCAGGTTATGGCTGCTAGCAATTAATGCTTTCAGTCACAGTAATCATATAAATAATGCTTTGTGACATTACAGTATTTCCCACTACAGATCAATTTTGTAGCATGTGCTCATAATCAGACTTGAAATGTTACCAAGAAACACAATATGTTTCCCTTGAAACAGTCAGACCCTATTAGAAATCTAAGGCTTTACAAATCACCATGTTAACAGTGATGTCCCCCAGCGAAGATTTCCTCTCCTTAAATAGTGTTTAACCCCAGAAACTCTAGTCCCTTTGAGGGGTACTCCTCTTACGTGCACTGACTTGAAAAACTTGGAGCTCAAAATACGTTTAACATTTTACGATGTACCATTTAGTAAGTCAACCAGTGCTCTCATTTGGGGGAAAATAGCATTAGCACAATTTAAGTGTTATGCTCATAATTAGGTTACATATCTTCTCTATTTATTATTTTTTAAAACCTAGGTGTTCTTTGCTAAGTGTCTATGTCTAGGTAAGAGGAGTTGTTTTCTCCTCCTGACCACACAGTCATATGCTGTGGGCAAGGGAAGCAACTAAGAAGAAAGAAAAAAAGAACACCGATCAGCTGCAGATCTGCAGCAGGGATTTTAGAGCCAGCTAACACCTGGAGGTGAGTTCTGGCCCTTCTATGTAATGACTGTAGAGTCTGAGGCAAATCACCATATATACCTGAGTACAAGCCAACCCGAGTATCAGCCAAGGCAAATTTTACCACAAAACTGCATTAAAAATGTGCTGAAAAACTTGGCTTATACATGAGTATATATGGTTCTTCACTTCCCATGCAACAAATTTCAGCTACTGTTAGGTTTTTTTATAGAATATCTTCTCTCCCACCCCAGGAAAAGCTTTAATTAAAGCTACCAACTTTTCATTCATTTAGCAAATAATCACCGAGTGTTTATTATGTAAGGTTTATTATACAAGGGTGGAAGGGCTTCAAAAACATGTGGGAAAAGTGGAATTGAAATAGAATTTTCCCAGGAGCTCTTTGAAGCTCCTTGTATACTGGATTCTACTGTTCTGGGAAATTATAAGACAGATCAGACTCTTGCTTTCATGGAGCTTAAATTCTAGCAGGCAGGAGGAGGTGGACAATATAGAAACCAGAAGTTCAATGGAGAGGTTGAATGGTGAGCCTCCAAAAGATGTCCACACCCTATCCTCCAGAACCTATGCCTGTGACCCTCTTTGGGAAAAGGACCTTTGTCTTTGTGCTGAAGGATCTCCCTGATGAGACCATCCTGAATTAACCAGGTGGGTCTATGTCCAATGGCAAGAGTCCTTACAAGGAAAACAGGAAGAGTCACATACAAAGCCACGAAGATGGAGGAATTGGAGTTACAAAGTCACAAACTGAGGAACACCCAGGGCCGTGGGAAGCTCAATGGCTAGGTAGGCCTCTCTCCCAGAGTTGTCTAAGGGAACGTAGGCCTACTGCCCCCAGCACTGTGAGGGCATCCGTGTCTATTAGGAAGACCTCCACCTTGTGGGCATTTGTTCTGGTAGCCCCTAGAAAACCAAATGCAAATGGTAAGGACGGGAGTGGAGACTACTTTAAAAAGTGGAATCTGGAGAAAATATTCTAGTTACCTGGGATTGGAGGATGAGGGAGATGGGCAAAACCCCAGGGGGAAGCAAGTACAAAAGGCCTAGCCTGGTCCCAGCCCTATAAAGATGACCCTGTTTGAAAAGAGAGGTTGGTTTGTGTTGTCAGTGAAATCATGCCAGAGCAGGGTGGGCCCCAAACCTAATCATAGGTGCATGGTATCTTACCAGAGAGAACATACCAGGTGGAGACAGCCACACAAGGAAAATCCACCTCCAGCATGGCCAGGATGGTTGGCTGCTATTGGAAGCAGAAGGAGAAAAAGAGAGGCCTCCTCCTTGACCCCTAGAAACAGAGTTTAAACCTCCCAAACTGTGGGAAAATAAGTTTGTTCTCTCACATCACCCACTTGTGCTTTGAGGTGTGGTTTTTCGCAGCAGCAGCAGCACTAGGATCAGAGAAAGGGTCCGTAGAGCTGGAATAGGAGGTTACGAGAGAATGGACACAGACCACTGCTATCAAGTTGATCCTGACTCACTAGGAAGGACCACGTAGGATGGATCAGAAGTGCGCCGTGGCGTCTCAAATGCCATCAATCTTCACAGGTGCAGACAACCACACCTTTCTCCCTCAGGTGAGCTGGTGTGTTCCAGCTGCAGGCCTTTCCGTTAGCAGGACTATGCTCAATGTAACCCACTGTGCCACCAGGGGAGATCCTGCTGACAAAGCACCTGGAACCAGATCCCGGGGAGAAGGTGGGCTCATAGACCCAGGTGAGAAATCTGGACTGTTTCCATTGAAACTTGTCTCAAAACGACTGCCTAAGTCCTGCCGAGCCCCTAACGACTACAGTGAAGGAAATACATATGTATTTACTGAGTTCAAAGCAAAGGGGTATAATAAACATTCCAGTAATGAGTCTTTTAAAACAGAACCTTTATGGTTCCACTCATGTCACTGTATCCCCACGTTTGATTCGAGGGGAAGAATGAGGTTGCAAATCATATACAGGAAGACAAACACAGCCACGGTAGGAAATTCTCAGTGGAATCCTTTATTTCATTCACTTTCTACATAACAGCTGGAACTTCAACCTCTGAAAGGTTTTTGTGATTTTCTTTGCTACCAGGCACTGGCTTGAAATGGCACCTTGTCCTTATTCCACGATGTAAGCTGCCCTGGGCTCAGGTGGGAGGGCTGCGGGATCCCCGCACTGGGAGGTGTGTTCCAGCACATCACGAGGCTTCCAGTCTGCTCGTGCCCCACAAGCGCATTCCAATTGGTGGCCACAGATCAGCGATCCATCGTCCTCACAGACACGCCAAGAACCTCTTTCTCAAGTACATTTAAAGCATGTACTATTTTCCTACATTTCTTCAAATACCTGGCATTCATTTTCTCTACCTCTAAAATTCAATGTTTTCACATTATCTTTCTTGATTGCATCTTGTTATTAAAAAAAAAAAAAGCCAAGATGTGGATTTCTGGAGCATGTTAGCTAGCCCACAGGGGGAAAGACACAGAGGTTTGACCCACCCCTTACAGTAACAGCTCAGAGTAAAACTTCAAAAATGGAAGAAGCTGAAAAATCGGCCTTACTTTGAAATACGCCTACCTAAAAAAACAGAATTATACCTCACCAACTATTTAATAATGGCAAAAGTAAAAACCGGTAATTAACATACATGTCAGTCATTCAGTATGAAACCTCCTACCCCCCACTGTTTCCGAATAACAAGGTTTTTCAAGTTTTAGTTCATTGTAGTTTAAGTCACGTCTTAGTAATGCATCACCATAGAGAGTGGCAATTAATCAAGATTTTAATGTATTTTGAGAGACATCTTACTAAAAGAATATCAAGGGTTATTTTCTGGTATCTTCAGGTACAAATATTTTTGTTTTGTTTTTTAGAAACAACTGTTTTTAAATTAGACAATTACAGCAACCATCCAAGACTATAAAAAAAGCTTCCCACAGTCTGCCAGGCTATGTCTGATGAGTGTTTCAGAGTTCATCATGATTTTTTGTGAGATCTTCCCCATAATTCGTAGCTTGGCTTCCGACAAACATGTGCCAGTTCTCCAATATCTCCTCCTTAGTTAACTTCTCATCCTGCAGGAGAGAGGGCAGAGGCCTGTAATAGAAACTCTTGGAACTATGAGTAATAGTGTGGCGTAAAGCTCATGCTGCTTCTGGAGTTGCAACATCTTAAGCACTGCATTTAACCCGGAAGAAGCAGCTGGGTGCCGCCCTGTTCTACATCACCTGCCCTTCAAAACCCCAACGAGAATAGCCTCCTGCTATCAAAAGTGGCCTCAGAGACGTCAGTTCAATCCCCAAATAATGCAGAAGCACAATCTACTTGTGTCTAAAAGTAGTGCTGTCATTCCCAAGACAGGTCCCCAGAATGACACTTCCCCTTTCAGACCGAACTGGATGACTCAACTGTCTCCTGAGAGTTTGGAGCGGTGACCAGAGTGGGACGAGCCAGGACTTCTTTTTAGATCGTCTTTAACGGGCGTGGGCTTTATCAGGAAAAAGAGAACTACTGGGCGTCTTTCCTGAGATTCGGAAGTATTAGCTATCGATGCCAGCTGCCAACGCTCTTACTCATGGTGACTCCTCCGTGTGTGGGGCCTAGAACTGCCCTCTGGAGGGAGGGAGTCTGTGAGGCCGGGAGCTTTCAGAAGCTCATCACTAGGCCTGGGCTGACTTGGGAAATCAAGCCCCCTGAGAAAACACGGCCAACAGTGTGAGCTGGCCCAAGGGTTTCTGGGCATTCATGTAACGGGCTTCCCTGTGCCCAGTCCATCATAGGTATTTGATAAATATCCAATGGCTGAAACTATGGAGAAGTAAGCTCGTCGGAGGGCGATGCTAAGTATAGTTCTTAACTCCGTGTCTTGTCCCCATCAAACCAAGTGACTGGTTCTGCGATCCTATAGTGTTTGGCTTCACGCAAGTCTTGTGGCTCGTTGCCGACTATCAGGGACTGTCTGCCCGCATGAACTCACTGTGGGTTATCGTGGGATTTGGTCATATGTACAGGTTTCTTCTGTAAGGCAAGAATAAGACAAGTCGACAAAGACTGGGCAGGCAAGCCAATGCGACCGCCAAAGAAGCAAACAGAGCCCACCTTCTGTACACTGTCTCCCTTCGAGGAGCAATGCGGGAGAAGGCCACATGTAAATACCTTGTTCTTGTCCGACTCGTACACCAGGTGCCTGGCCTCGGCCTGCGCGTGGTCGTAATCTTGAGGGAGGATCCAGTGGCGAATCTCTTCTTTGTCCAACTGGCCATCCTTGTTCAGGTCTCGGAACTCATTAAACTGCTCCCGCTCCGAGAGCACCCAGTCAGGCTCCGGGCCGCTGTCCTCGTGGGAAAACATGTCAGCTGGAAGAAACGGTTGCCGTCAGGGTGCAGGGAGAAGTGGGCAGGTGCAAGGCAGGGACAGGGAACCTCCTGGGGCTGCCAAAGGGTGGCAGCTCACGAAGTGGCCTACCCTGAACAGCGAGTGAGCAGTTTCTCGGGAGAAAGAATGCTTCTTGATAAAAGAGAGAGAGAACTGAGCAGAGGGGTCAGGAGATCAAGCTGGTCTCTTGACTTTGTTCCGCAACCATGATCAAGGTACTGAGTGTCGTAACGGAGTCCTAGGCTTCCTCATCTGTAAAACTAGAGACAATAATTTAGAGAGCCGCAGGGCTATCACAAATATCACGTGGGAGACTTTATGTGACAGCAAATGGTGAAAAACCGCTCAAGAAAAAGAGATTTTTTCCTCCATAGGTGAAAACTAATAATGTTCATGAACAACTCCTTTCTTCTGGTCTAGACCCTGTCCAAGGCACTTTACGTATTGTTAGCTCAGGTTTCCCGACATCCTAGCAAGCCGGTGCTGTGAACCATGCAAAGCACCGAGGCACAGACCCATCCCAGAAGCGAAGGCGAGTATGAACTCCCGCCTGCATAGGCACACGGACACTGCTTCCCGACCCCTGCGCTTGCTACTTACTGCTTGTATCATTTCCAAAGGGCTTTCACGGATTGTACGTGACCCTGACCACACTCCTGTACAATAACCACTGCCTCCATTTAGAAGCTGGCAGCAAAGGACAAAGAGGGCGATGCTTATTCATGGTTTGCTTCCTCACCAGGTCGTCTTGGAAAAGGGACACCCCGTGGGCAGTTTCTCTGCAGTGGACCACAGCTGGAAAACCTAGGGCCGTAGCGCCGTAAATGACGGGGAAAGAAGGAAGCCCCTGGGGTTGGCCCCCAGAAAGGCCCACATCTAGGATTTTCAGGGTTTGAGACCTCCAGAGTAAGCTGTTACTTATCCAAAGGGGTTTCACACCTTCATGGAAAAATTCAATTCCTTTTAAATTTCATTTTTCCAAGAACTTTTTGAGACCACCTCCTGTAGCTAATCTGAGCATCATCTGATACTGTCAGCACAGGTGCATTTGGACCTTCATTTTACAGATGAAGAAAGAGGCTTGGAGAGGTTAGATGGCTCACAACTGGTAGACCTCAAAGTCAGAACTCCTAGTTCCTATGCCTGCCCTGTGACACCGCACAACTTCCGGTGTCCCATCCATGCTACCGCATACCTGAGAACTCACGTGCTAGACAAGCCGCTACATCGGCGCTCAGTATCAGACGGCCCAGTGCCATGACCCCCACCTCCTTCTCTGACAACAATGGAATGCTGTGTTGTGGCAAAGCCACGTGGGCCTTGACTTTGCACCGTGTCAATGCAGAGTTCAGGAGCGCCGGGAAGAGCACACCGTTTTAATGAAAAGAGCTTTGCTGTTGGTTATCATCCGTCAGCCTTTTCTGTCGGTCTTCATCCCATCACCACTGTCAAGGTGAGGCGTCCGTGGCTCTGAACTCGTCTCTCTCGTGTGTGACAAGGGAGCTGTCAGCACGGGTTAGTCTACAAAGGTCGTGTCACCCAGAGCACTTTAATTACTGTGGGGCGTTACCTGTCGGTTATCACAGGCAGACGAGAAAAAGGCTGGGTTCTTAGGACCCAACATAATTTCTAAAGATCAGGAGACCCTTTGCTTATTACTCAAGGCACTTGTTTTGTGTGTACGGGTGGCAAAAGAATCCAATCACAGGACCAGAGACCAAGTGTGTAATTAACTGTCTCTATTACATGTGTGTAGAAAAAGTCTACTCCCACCCCTCTTTCTTGGACCGACACATGCATCAGATGGTTCTGTCGCTTTGAGTGTGGTGAGGCTGAAGCACACCAAATGTTCCCTGGGCTGCCAGGACACAGGGCCTCCTAGGAGAGAGACAGCCAGACTGCTCCTTAGAAGCAGGAGGGGGAGATGTCCACTGGGATGAGGGCACGTCGTCAGGGCAGACGGAGCTCTAGAAAAGGCCCTGACGTCTGGTGGGGGATCAGTGAAGGCCAGGGAGCCCCTCAATGAGAAGGGCACGCTCAGTCCCCACAGCGATGGTCTGAAACATATCAAAGACCCGAAGACGGCACAGGGCGATGCCGTGTTTCAATCTGTGGGACAGACTCCCACGAGTCACAGCCAACTCAGTGGCAACGTCCCACAAGAACAGCTTCCTGGAGATGTGGGGAAAGCTGTCTGGAGAAGGCAGCCTGTAGAGGAAGCCGGGTGGCAAAGCTCTGCTGAGAAGAGCAAGTGGAAATCCCTTGTTGCCTTGAAGACTGGAGGTCACTGAGCTACTGGAAAGGGCTACCATTGGGAATGGTGCGTGCCAACCACAGTGTGCTAATGGAGGCTCCTTCTGTGTTGCCGAAGTGGAGACCTTCAAGACAAAATGCCAAGTAGGGCATTTGCCACCAAAGGATCCAAAATCCAGACACACAAAGTAGCTCTATGGACAGGTAGCGGTACGCTTTGAAAAAGGCTTTACCTCGCTAAAAAGGAATTCCTTTCTAAGGAGATCGCCCCCAGTGGCTACTAATAATCCCACGGATCACAGCTGCACCTACCCAAGCGTTTCCAGGCCCTGCTGCTCCACGTTCTTTTTAGAGACTCCCGTGAGACTGTGAGCTTAAGCCTCCCTTTAAGCCCGGGGTTCTCAACCTTCCTCATGCTGCGACCCTGGAATACAGTTCCTCAGATGGTGGTGACTCCCAACCATAAAATTATTTTCGTTGCTACTTCATCACTGTAAGTTTGCTCTTGTGATGAATCGGGTGACCCCTGTGAAAGGGTCGTTCAACCCCCAAAGGGGTTGTGACCCACAGGTTGAGAACCACTGCTTTCAGTCAGCAAGATCCCCGATCCCATTTACAAAAGGAAAAGCGGGCAATGTGATGAAGGGCAGCCACAGTGCCCGGGGATACAAGTGGCCAACCTAATGGCAGGGCCAACCTTTTTGTCTGTTGCCCACTGACTGTGATCTAGTAGTGGCTCCCTGAGACGGCACCTCGAAGGCTTGCATGACACATCAGATCGGAAGGCCCACCCCCCTGGCAGCTGTTGCCTAAAGAGATGTCTGGGGAAGCGGTCAGACCTATGGGTGGAGCAACACTGCCCAGTTGAGGCAGCTGAGTCAGACTGCAGGCCAGCACTCACCGATATACTCGTCCTGGTCCACGAACCCATCCCCGTTCTTGTCGATGTCCTCCAGGGTTTCCTAGGAAGGAAGGAGAAAGCGCAATGAGATGGCCACTGGCCGACATGAACCTGAGAAGTCTCACTCTTGTCTTCTTCGGTCCAGCTCTTCTGGCTGAAAGCTGGGTGACTGCTCGTTCATCTCGTCCTCCTTCTGGCTGCTTTTTAATCGCCCTCAAGCAGTGGTTTTTGCGACAACGCATCTACCCTGCAACTTTACAAGGAGAATTCTCTCCTTAAAAGAACATGTACCCCCAAATCCAGAGTTGTTCTGATCCTATCCCAAAGCCCTGCCAGATCAACCGTCTCCACCACCCAGGTGGGGGTACCTGCCAAGCAAACCAGCTTGAGCACCATGAGGTGAGATAATCACAAAAATCCATCCCAGTGCCACTGGGTTGGCATAAAATATAAACCAGTGGGCAATCGCAAAACATGGAAGTACAGCTGAATTTTGATGGTATTAGGCTCTGTACATTTGCTTTCTTAATTCGCTTACTGTCCATGGACACAGCAACTCAAAGGCAGCCTTAGTCGAAGAAGATTCCAGCCCAAGAGTGGTAGCTGAACCAGAAGTACTTGTGGATAGGACCACGACTTCACCCACCCCTCTGCCACACGAGTCACCACTACATGGATACTGCATGCGAAGCAGAACTTCTGCCCAATCCCTGGGTGATCATGCTGATCATGATGAAGGATGCGACAAGGGTGGACCCATCCACCAACCAGATAACGAAAGGCGCGCTCAGAACAGAAGTAAAGAAAAGCTGTCGGCAGCTTGTTTGCCAGCTGGAAACAGTTGGGAAGCTGGGTTAGCTGCCCCGGCAACAAGTAAGTGATGGCATTTATTTTACTCAGGTGGAGAATGAAGTCGTTTTGCACCCAACGAGACAGCGTGAAAAACCACCACACTCCGAGCCCTTTTCTCACAGGCCTGCTCAGAAAGTGTACGAATCTGATCCATCCCCCTTCAAAGACTCGGTCCCGTCTAGTTGTAGCTTTTCAGTTTCCACCTTAACAATCCAATGCCTTCTTTTTCTAGGCCTCTTAGAGCAGCGGCTCTCAACCTGTGGGTCGTGACCCCTTTGGGGGTCAAGTACCCTTTCACAGGGGCCTCCTGATTCATAACCGTAGCAAAATGACAGTTATGAAGTAGTAATGAAAACAAATGTTATGGTTGGGGGTCACCACCATATGAGGAACTGTATGAAAGGGCCGTGGCATGAGGAAGGTTGAGACCACGGTCTTAGAGCTAAAAGAGGGCTGGCGGAGGCCAAGTCGTGACTCACTAAGCCCATAGGCTCTTCCTGTGCACACATCCAAGCATTTCGCCCCAGCCTCTTCCGATTTCGGTGGAGCCAGTAGAACGTAAATGGGAAGGGTGTCTCATTTCCAAGCCAGAGCAGTTAGGACAGGTTATGCCTTCTTCTCTTTCCCTCTCTGTCTGCCAGATGGTTACTGCCAGGATGACCTGGAAGCCACAAGATGGCAGAGTACGAGATGGAAGTAGCCTGGCCTTGTCAACTGCCAGTCCCCCCGGAAAGTCTGCATTTTACTTTGTCTAAGCAGAAAGGGAGCTTCTCCTGTGCTACACAATTCAGGCTGGGGCTCTTTGTTACAGGAGCTAGCCTGCCCTGACCAATTTACTGGATCAGCAGGCACCCCCTGCTTTCCTCTTCGGAGTCCTCCAATTCTCCCCGGGCTGAAAGGCACTCTCCCTTAAAGAGAAGCGCCACAAGGTGGGTGCAGCTTTCTTCCCCCATCCTGTCCGAGCCCAGGCACCTCATCTGTCTTACCAAGACCACGATTTCCTTCATGTGCTCAAACTCCTCGGGATGTAGGAAGGCAGTGAACTCCTCCCGAGTGGCTGTCTGGTCACTATCCAGGTCTGCAGCCTTGAACCTTCTCTCATCACGAGGGAGCATCTTCTTAAAGGTGTGATGATCTGAACTGTCATGAAACTCGGCAGGGTTGCCTGCAGGATGCAAACAGAAGCTCAGACTTCCGTCCAAATCGCCCTTCGCGTAAACACTGGAGGCACCAGACCTGGCAAGTTCTCTGTAGACATTCAGTGCCCATCCCCTCATGCCATCCCATGAGCCGGGCCTCAGTGGCTCATGAGGGGCATTACAGCAAGTGGTCCAGAGCATAGGTCTTTGTGTTTCCCAAGTGGACAGTACGAACCCTGGAGGGCACTGGAAATGATCTGGGGGTGGGGGTGGGCAGTGGTTGCAAAAGCAGATCCCCCAAACCTCCAAACTCACTGCCATCGAGTCTGCCGATTCACAGTGACCCTCGAGGACAGGGTAGAAATGCCCCTGGGAGTTCCCAAGACTGTAACTGCTTACAAGAGTAGAAAGCCTCATCTTTCTCCCTCGGAGCAGTTGGTGGGTTTGAACTGCTGATCTTTCGGATCATACCCTGTGATGCATAACCACTACACAACCCGGGCTCTCTTGCAGATACCTACACTCTATCCTGGGTTATAGGCGACAATCCAAATATTTTGATTCCCGGGGTGGGGAGTGGTGGTGTGTACTGAATAATTTTTTTTTAAGAGGTAGCAGGCCAAGGAAGTTTGTGACTGTCTGCTTCAGACAATGCCAAGGCCATTCTTCTCTTTCCAGAATCCTGCCTTCACCATGTCACTCCTTGTTCTGGAACACAGAGGTTCTTTACTACCAACTGCTTCTTATCTCAGAGCCTCTGCCTTGCTGTCGATCTCCCTTAGCCCAGCCGTGTGTGTGTGTGTGTGTGTGTGTGTGTGTGTGTGTGTGTGTGTGTGTGTTTCTCCTCTAGCCTGTCTCCTCACTGTTTCTACCATGGACTTAGGTTTATATTCTGCGTCTCTGCCCCACATCCTTCCATTATCCAAACCCTGCACATTACTGAGTCATTACTGAGTGCATCGCTGTACATCTGCCCACCAGCCCCCACCCCCCCCTACTTTCCCCACTTGCCTTTTTCTCCCCAAAGAGAAATACACTGTTCACAGTCCAGGTCCCAAAACACCCTCCACCAGGAAGCCTTCCCTGACTGCTCCACCCCCTCTGAAACTCTGTAACATTTTATAACAGAGAAATATTTCCTGTCTGATTGGCTCTCTGGGTGACCCTCTGAGATCGTACGCTCCGGGAGGGCAGTGATCAGGTCCCCTGGCCGCACTCCCACCCACCCCGCTGCACTTCACTCAGTAAGCCAAGTGTACCCTCTCAGTAAGCAGAGGGAGACGTACACAGCAAACTCTACTTAAGAGGTTGTGACATCTCCCCCAAGGGAGTGGTTGGGATAAGAAATGGAGCATCTCCCGGAAGAAGCTGGCTGCCCAGCCCCAGCTGTGTAATCCCTTCTCCGCATCTCCTACCTAGGTAGTAACCATAGGTGGCCTGTTTGTATTCTTCCCAGGAAATGTTATCATCTTTATCTCGATCGTAGTCCTTCCAGACTTTCGCGACACTGTCGAAGATATATCTTTTCTGCACTCGTTTGATCCAGGTTTTCAGTTCCTCTGTGGTGACAAAGCCATCCCCATCACTGTCTATTCGATCCACAATCTTCCTGTAGTGAAACACAAACACAAGGTTATTACAAAGGTTGTGTGACCTTACTCGAACTCACTCCCATGGAGTCAATGCTGACTCAATGCGAGCCCCTGGGGGTTCCTGACACTGTAACTGTTTATGGGAACAGAAAGCCCAGTCTTTCTCCCTCGGAGCTGCTGGTGGTTTTGAACTGCCAATCATGCAGATAGCAGCCTAACATGTAACCACTACTGGATGCAAAGCCTATAGAATCTAAAAAGCAAAGCAATTAAGATGAAATCGATGATCTGATGACACGAGAAAGCACCTTTCGGAAGTGTTAGAGCGATGGAAACACCATATTCAGAAGTGCACAGCCCTGAGGGAGGCTATGTGGAGAACCAATAACTTCACATTTTGACAGCTTTGTTTAATAAAGGCTTCTATGATCTCTGTGTCCCGATAAACCTGGATGGGCCTCAGACTCCTCAACACAGTGCTCTGTAGCTGGTCACGACCACTGAATAAAGTTGATTTAGAGTCGAAAATATAAGAGGGTAAGTCAACCAGTATTGCCGCTGGTTCAAACACACAGGTTTATTCCAACAAAATGTGTTTGACCGTCTCTGCTGTCAGTGGGTGGCTGCAGACAAGTTCTCTCTGTAATGTCTTAGGTTCATCAGGGAACTTTCCAGAAAAGGGCCAATCAGAGCAGCTGGCTTCCAAAGGGGCTTGCTGGATCAGTTAAATTCAAGGCAGAGAGGTCAGCTCAGAAGGTTCTGGTGACTGTTTGGGGGGGGGTGCAGCACGGTAATCTTGGTAGACACTCTTGAAGGACACAATGCGATCATGGGCTTATAATGACGTCCTGAGGAAATTGAAAAAGGCCAGGAAAGTTGCTCCCAAGTTTTGGTTTTTCCCCATCACAACAATGCCCCTGCTCCTTCAAGGGTAGCAAGGGCCCTCCTATAAGAAGTGTGTTGGGAAACGTACCCTATCCTCCCCACAGCTCTAATCTTGCTCCTTCACACTTGCTCTTCCTCGCAAAACTCAAAGGACAGTTTAAAGGATCGTGACTTGAGTCCCTTGAGCATGCCCCAACTGCCATTTGACCTGGCGGAAGCAGAAGCATGTGGGATTGCTGGCCGGGGTGGCGGGGTGGCAGTGGGGGTGGGGGTGTCCCTAGATGGAAACACTGCCTTCTGGAGTGCAGGGACCTAGAGGAAGCACCCATTAGATCAAGCACCCATAGCTTCACATTTTCCTGTTTTGTTTAATAAAGTTTCTATGATTTCATAGTGATATTTTGTTTTTTTTTAACTTAACTTCACCTGGTGAAACCTATTTGTCCTCCCTGATGAAGTCTCTTATTTTCGTGCAGTGGGAGCTCAGACCCAAAGAAGTTCATTTTCTAGGTTGCTTTTCCAGGATTGCACGTCTGGTGTTTGGTACAACCTAGGTGAGAATCCAAGTCCTCCGGCTCTCGAGGCTGGAATCTTAAAGATCAGATCTTGTTGGAGAAAGTAGAAAAGGTAAGGAAAGACATCAGAGAACCTATTGTATTCGCATTTTCACGCAAATGACCTGTTAGCCAGCTATGCCCTCCCCCTGCAAGGTTATTTTTCCTAAGTGTTTGCTGTAAAAATAATTGCATCGTGCACTTAGGAAAATACTTAGGACCAAAAAAAGAAGAATGTGCACATCATTTTTGGTAAAAGTATGTATTCAAGAAATATCTCTAGCTGGACAGCTGCAGGCAACCGCCCTCCCTTAAGATAATGCCCCTCTGCCCACTAGTGTCTCCTGCTCCACAGCTGTCCCAGCTTCCAGCAACTTTCCACTGAACTTCATAGAGTCGCCCCAAGTTTCAATCCATGGCAAACTTCAGGCTACGGTGTGGGAACCAGAAAGATTTCTCCCAAGTTGCCTCCCCCAAATATATGTTAGACTTAGAACACTGCTTGCAGCTCATGGTAAATGATTGTCAAGTTACCTCCCTGAAAGCAGTCAGTAGCCAGAATACTGTCTGGTCCCACCACAAGGAGGGCCCACTCCCTGCTGTTAAGGCGTGTGACCATTAGTCTGGCCCCTGTGGGTGGGGTTTACACCCTGCTGATAATGGTTTCTATGGAGATCCAGAGAACAGGTCAAACCGGCTCAGTGACATCCAACGTTGGGCAGCCATCATGAATCTAGGAACCGCCCATCTTGTCACATGTACCCCTAATCCTTCCCTTTCCTTTTGCGTGTACATCCCTAGATTGTCCCCCTCTCATTGCTGTATAGCCTATACTGCAACCCCTTCCTGTGACATGTGTTTTTACCTGTAATTAGGGGGCTTGCATGCCCCCCCAAAGATATATAAGCCTTGGTTAGCAATAAAGATGTCCCTTTGGCCTCTGGTCAGCTTCCCCTTCCTCTCCCCTGTGCTCGCTCCTGTTCCCTTTCCCCTTGTCCTCCTCCCCCTCCCCCTGTCTCCACATGGACCACCAAGCGGGGCTGAGGTGAGCATGCTACCATGAAATGTGTCTGACTCCATTATTTCAACCTCTCCTCTATCTCTCATGTGCTCGATGACTTTGTTGTAATATTTATATATATATTAACTATACAATTGTGCCTATCGAACCCGCGATTAGT